AAAAATAGTTAAAAATATACTAATAAAAATAATAAAAATAAGTATAACAAATTAGAATACAAATGACATTATATAACAATGTTTGTTGAAGTAAATGCAGTTTTTTTTTTGCATAATTTCAGTTCGCATAATACTTATCATTCTCTTTAAAAGAATAGGTAGCAATTCGATAAATTTTAGATAGGAATAATTATTTAACCTTGCATTTAATTGCTATGGAAAATATAATTAACCATTATTTTAACCCGTTTTGAAAAAAAATTTTTATTTTTTTTTATTTTTATGACAAACGAAAACAAGTTTATACAGTGTATAAAAAAAAAACAAGAAATAAATCGTCAACGCTCCACTAGATAATAAAAGAAACCGTAAAATACAAAAAAAAAGACATTTTATAAAGTGAGTTTAAGACAGAATTATATTTTTAAAGTGCGCTCTTATAAAAAAAATACTTCAAGTATAAATTTTTCCCATCAAAATAAAAAAATATTGAAATATTTCAATTTTTATAACATCGAAATATTAAAATTATATTAAAACAAATAGATATAAAAAAAAAATGATGAAAATTAAAGAATTTGTTTGTATTATCAATTTTTTAATTGTCTCACAATATTTATTAGTGATTGAGGCTAAAAATAAATTAGATATAACAGCATTAAAAAGTGAAGAAGCAACATTGGGTACATTGGGTTCTGTTTTGGGTCCTGTATTGGGATTGGTAACTGAGGCAGAATATAATGCAATGTTAGCTAAAATTATGGCTATTCTTGAAGATCAAAAAAATTTTACCGGTATAGTGGATAAACAAAGTACAAAGTCACAGGCAGATTTTCAAAGAGTGGATAATCGAATTGATCGACAAAATGATCAATTGCAGGAAATGCGTGCTAAAATGTCAGAAATGTCAAGTAGCTTAAAAAATATACTTCTCTTTCAAAAGGCTTTTGCAGAAATTCAAAAACTTAACACAGATTTAACAAAATTGGATGATAAACTCGATAATTATTCAAAAGTTCTTGATTCAATTATTAATGCTCTCAATAAAGGTAATGGTGTTACAACAACTGAAAAAACGCCAAAAAGTGCATAATAAAAAAAAGTTAGAAAATCGTTTATATAATGAAATAAATAATAAATTAAATATTGACAATAATTGATGTTTATTATTAATCACAATTCACATTATGAATTTTTTTCGTTAAATTAAATATACTGGTTTGCTGAAAAATAAAAATTTATTATTTGTGAAAGTAGAACAGAAATAGAAAGTAAGATTATTAAAAATGACAGTTGTATTTTCAAAGTTTAATTATTTTTTATTTTTAAATTGTGAAAATTAAATAACAGTGACCTATCACTTATTATTAAAAATATTCTTTATTTTGACATTAAAATACCGGCTAAAAATAAATGACAAAATTGGGTTAGTTTTAGTTTTCTATATTTTTTCATTTATGAGGGATTTATCTTTATTTAATTTTCTTTTTTTTTTGAAAGCATATTAAACAAAAAAAAAAATTTATTTGATTCAAATAATCTATACTTGACTATTATCAAATAAATATTTATTTGAATCGAATAATTTTTATTTTGAATTGTATTTAGACCAATAATTATTTTGAACTACTATTTAATTGTCTCAGATAAAAAATTATTTGCTGCAAATAAATATTTATTTTAATAATGTAACGGAATATTTGGATCAAATAAAAAAAATTTTTTTTTTCTGTGAAACAATGCCCCATATAAATTTAATTGAAATCAAGTTAGAGTTTTAATAAATTCATATCCATTCAAATATATAGGGATATATAACAACAGAATTGGATACTTCAAAGGATGGTTCTGATTTTACTGTGACGCAATTATTGAATATTGTGAGAACAGTCCGCCGGTAGCTAAAAGCATTTTCGTTTTAGTTGCGTGCAATGGAGTGGTTAAACGTTATTTATTCACACCTGCACTTTACTTGATTCAATAGATTTATATTTAAATCATTTCCAAAACCCCAATAACATTAATTTATTATATTGGCCTAATAGTGAATTTGTGTTTAGATGTTATTTTTGGGACGTATGATTATGTTATTAAAAATCATTAGTTATAATTTACATTTTATCGAATTTTTATTTGTCCTAATTAGTTTTTGAGACGAATTTTTATTTGTTCGAATTAGTATTTTGCATAATTTACATCAAAAAGCGATTTTCTATATTAAAGAATTTTTATATAACCCAAAAATTCACTACATAGAATTTTTATTTCTTCGAATTTTTATTTGTCAGAATTTTTATTTGCTCGAATTTTCATTTAAAATAATAGGAATTTTAAAGAATTTTTATTGGGTAGAATTTCGCATTGAATAGAATTTTCATTCAGATGAATTTTCATTTATTCGAATTATTATTTGATATAATTTCCATATAATCGATTTTTTATACTACAGAATTTTTACTTAACCGATAAATCATTTAATAGAATTTCTAATTGATATAGAATTTACATTTGTCCGAACAAACAATCGACAGAAAGATTTCGGCGCGATTTTTAAAATCAACCAATCAAAAATTATCCATAAAATTGTGATTGGTTGATTTTAAAAATCGCGCCGAAATCTTTCTGTCGATTGTTTGTTCGGACATTTGAAAATTCGGACAAATGAAAAATTCTATTAAATGATTTGAATCTGAATCATCTGAATGAAAATTCTATTCAATGAAATTCTACTCAATAAAAATTCTTTAAAATACCTATTATGTTAAATGAAAATTCGAGCAAAAAAAAATTCTAACAAATAAAAATTCGAAGAAATAAATATTCTGTGGAATGAATTTTTGGTTATATAAAAATTCTTTAATATAGAAAATCGGATTGATGAAAATTATGCAAAATACTAATTCAAACAAATAAAAATTCGGCTCAAAAATTAATTAGGACAAATAAAATTCGATAAAATGTAAATTGTGACTAATGATTTTTAGAACATAATCATGCGTCCCTTTTTTTTCTTCAAAATTTTGTTTCCTATTTTGTTTTATTGTTAAGATTTTCTTTGTTGGTATTTTTTTTTTTGGGTATTATAATTATTTGGAAACCTAGTTTGGAAAATGAGGTCAGCAAAACGAGGAAAATATATATATATATAGTGTTGCTTCTCCTTTAGTATATATAAATATCGTTTCTGTGTTTGAATATCGTTGAGACACCAGGACCTCCATAAGATGGATGGGGTACAACTATGCTACAGTCACGCGCCAACCATTCTTAGATTTATGTTCATGTAATGTAGTTTCCCTAGTAGGCGGAACTTGCTTTAGGTCACTTCGTTTCTCAATTATCAGAAACGATGAACTTACACCGATAAATTGCACAGTGTCGCGCCTTCCGACCCAAAACCACATCCAGCAGATTGAAATTAGTTTCAATAGAAGACATCTAAATTTCAGAATTATATATATATATATTATTTTCCATTTCATTTTTAGTATTGACTTTTAAATTTTTTTCTCCTTTTTTTAATTTCGATTCGATTTTAATTTAATATAAATCATTTTCTTTTAAATTAAAACGAAAAAATTTTCAAAATTCTTCAAAATCAAAAAGAAATTTATTCGGAGTTTGAATTTTTTTTAGGATTTATATTTAAAATCAGATTAGATTTGAATTATCTAACATATTTTACAATAAAAAGTGAAATAAATGTTTTTGTAAATGTTTTTTTTTTTTTTTTTTTTGTAAAAATAGTTAAAAGTTTAAAGCTTTCATAAAATCTTGCTACGAGATTTAAGAGCTTTTTAATTCTTTCTCAAGTTCATTTAAAACGTAAATTCTTGGAGAATCGTATTAACGCAGTGCAGCATAATTGTGAAGTTTTTTTCCTTACCTCGAGATATAAGAAAAAGTTGAACAAACAAAAAAATGTTTGAAATGTTCCGTGACGTTTTATTTCTGCATATTATATAGAAAAAGTAAAAATTCTCTGGTGAAAAAAAAAATTTATTTGAATCAAATAATTGCTATTTGATAAATAATTATAAAAATAATTTTTTATTTAAATTAATTTTTTTTTAATTAGTCTTTTTTTTGTATTTTATTTTTAAAGGTTGAGTTTAAAATTTTTTTTCCCGTGCTTCGAAATTTAAACAAAATGAATACGAAAGTATGCTCAAAGCAGTTTCTAATTTGCCATTTAGTTCAGCAGGCAATTACCAACCTTTCCAGTTTGCAATGGCGATCAAAGTTTAATTGTTATCCTTATCGAGCATAGTTATAGCCTGCAACAAACTCCCGAGTAAATCGCGAGGAAAATCACTTGGTGATGAACTATTTACAGTATACATACAATACAAATACAAACTCAATTTTGTCATTAATTGAAAAAGTATTTTGTATATTTTTTTTTTTTATAAAATTAGAATTCTAATTGAATTGAAATTCTGATTAAATCAATTAGAATTAATTTAATTATAATTTTAATATTTTTATTAATTTATGATAAATTCAAATTATTTATTAGAAAATTATTTTTAATATAAATTGAAATTATTTTGAAAAAGTAAATACGTATTCTTATAAAATTCGTGAATTTATTAATAATTTTAACAACAATCACTTTATATATCTTCTTTTTTTGTGGTCTATCATGAAATGCATTTGGTCAGAGCTGCAACGTTTCGCCTCAATTTGCGATTCAAACTTGAGAGGTTTTGCTCGTTAGCAAGTTATAGGCGTTCAATTACATTCAACCTAAATGGTTAGAAGTTCACTTATTCAAAATCGATTTAAATCGAACACGATTACATAGAGAGTTAACTTTACTAGTTATTGACGTACCTTAAGACGAAATTGAAACTTCAAAGAGTTAAATTAACAAAATGAAATTTCAATTTAAAAATCTAGTATTTTTTTAATTTTTCGATTTTACATTTTTATTCGAAGCCAAAAGAATTTTTTTTAATCTTTTTTGAGGGAAAATCATTCACAAAAAATAGAAATCATTTATAGTTATACATTTTATTTATTCATAAAAATTATCATCTAAGTTATTGGCTAAAGTTGATCGTTCCTTTATAACTTTAGAGTACAATGCACTTAAAGATATTTTTTTAAGGTGTATTATTATTGGACGATACAAAAAAAAAAACACATTCTCAACTGTGGAATGCTTTCACGCACTTTTGAGTACATAGTACTCAGAAAAAAAGTAACATGTTCACTATATGACTAATATTCTCACGAGTTTGGTAAACCAATCTCAAATATACATAATCATCGCTTCACAGTATACAAATTGCAGAAAAAATATATAAAATATTTATAATAACCATTTTATATTGATGTTTGAAAAAACGGCAGGGAAGAAGGATCGAAATGTTGAATTTGGTTCAAATAATTCCAAATTACCCTGAGTTTTGTTGATAAAAAGAAAAAGAAATAAAAACGTAATTTTTTATTTCACTCGTTTTTGTTGTCTTTGTCGATAAATATCGTTGACTGGTGGTGGTGGTAAATCTTCTTCTTCACTATCATCACCACCTAATCTTGTTCTTCTTCGTTTCGTTCCAATTGCTGTTCCGTCATTTGCTTCATCAACTATCCAGTGAACACTTTTTGCCAGGTCGAATAATTTTGTGTCACAACCATTGTCTGATATTGGTAGAGGAGCTGAAATAAATAATAATAATTATTATTATGCTTTTTTTCTAATTAGTTTTATTCATATTTCTGACGCTATTAATTTTAAATCGCTTTTTTTCCTCACTTTTCATTTGAGAGATTTATTCATTTCGAAATTTATTCGAATACTCATTCTTTCGAATTTTTTTATCTCTTTGGAATTATAATTTTTTTTTGGAATCTAAATTTCGTTTGACAGTAGGGAAATTTTTTTAAAATACTAACCGTGCTCTGGTAACTGAATTCTACTAAACACGTCCATTAGTAAATCAATTGTAACAAATGGTCCTCTGAAACATCCTGGTGGTGGTAAAATAGTGCACAATTGAGCTGCCGCTGGAGGCAAAGGAAATACACCACCTGAAAAAAAAGTTACAAATTCTATTCTTCTTTTCGTATAATTTTAGAATTATTTTATTGTTTTAAATCTAATTAATATTATTAATATTTTATTACCTGGTACCGGATGTTCACCTGGCAATGCATTGAGTTTTGGCTTAAATGGAATCATTTGCGATATGTCAGGTCTTGGCAATGAAGCCAAAGCTTCTTCTTGATCAGGAATTCGTGAAACTGGTCCAGTAGAATTTCTACTTATACTTGATACCTCGACGTAACCAATCGATCGTAATTCCATTGCTGTACAGGGATATAAATCCAAAAACTTGTAACGATCTACCAATTGAGCTGTTTCTTTACCTTCAAACTCTTTAATCTAAGCGGATAAATAAAATAAATATTAGTTAATTTAAACAAAAATTGATACTTTCTACTTAAAAAAAAAGTTTTCTCTTCTACTCACCTTTTCTAAAACAGCACTTCGTCGTTTTTCAACTTTAACAATACTAGCTAAATCTCCAATATTCGATTCGAATTCGAGAAAACGGTTCCAAATATCTCTGTAAATATCATAAAAATAATTAATTAATAAATCTTCATACTTTTTATTAGATGAAAATATTTTATCACTTACACTGATTTTTCTGGTTCTAAACTACCCGATGATAATACTCTCTCAAATAATACTCTTGTATTATTGTCCTCTGAAATACAAAACAGATTTTTATTTTTTTATCTAAAATTGAAATTAAAATTTAAAATTTATAATTTATATTCATACCATTTAAATGAGACAAGTAATCTATATAGCAAAGAATATATTCTGGATTGTCGCCAAATTTCTTTAAGCCTAATTCAAAAATGCGGAATGCTATATTTTTGTCTTTGGTACAATAATATTCCATTAGAGCGGCAGCAACATAAACATGATGCTTGCATCTCTGATCTTCACGTGCTCTTTTAAAAACTATTCTCGCCGATTTTATTCCTTCGGCGCGTCTAGCAAATTTCATATATTGAACATAAGCCTAAAAAATTTGAAAATTATTTCACTAATTAATTATCGAAAAAAAATTATTTACAATCGATTGTAAGAAATTAAAAAAAAAAATTTTTTTTACAAAAATAAATTTCGTATTTTTCTCACCAATGTGGGATCAATATCGGCGATATCGAGAAATTTTTGATAAATTTGATGTACTTTATCGTATTTTACTCGACCCTCTTCAAAATCGGCGTGCGCAAAATAAAGTAACATATTTTTTGAAAGCAATGTACTTGTTGCTCTTTCAAACATTGTCGCTGCCTCATCGCTAAGTTGTTTCGATGCATTAACATCACCTTTTTCAGTGAGAATTTTTGAACTTAATTCAAGAAAATGTGCGGCTTGATGCCAAACTGCTGGATGATGTCCAAGACACAATAAACATTGTTCAATGGCAAACATTACTCGTCGCGCTACCAATGATGTATCTTCCGTTCTCAATGGATTACTTCTTTCCCAAGCAATATATTTCTTCCATAATTCAACCTAAAATATTTTTAAAAATTTTAGAAACGTTCTTTTTTTAAAAAAAAATTCAGTTTAGAGAGAGAATTTTTTTTTACCTGTTTTACTTCATCTGGATGTCCAGTTGGAGGAATACTTGGAGCACTTCTGTTTAAACCTCTAGTTACAGCTTCCAATTCTTTAGCGACACGTCTCGCATTCATATAATCCCTTGATCTTTCAATTGCCATTTTTTCGGCAATAATAGGATTTATATTTTGTTCAAATGCCATGTAATCCTTCCACAATTGTTCCATATTTATCATTGGATTCACCACTCCTCGTTGGTATACCTAAAAAAGAGAAATTTATATTTTAAAATATTTTTCTTTAAAGTATTTAATTCTTTTACCCGAAGTTTAAAAAATCAAAAAAAAACTCTCACCTTTCTCACTGCGCTGATTTTTTGATTCTCAGCATATGAACCCACAGCTTCGACACTTTTCAAAAACATAACGTAATCATTCCAAATGCTAAAAGAATGAATGTCCATTCCTATTTTTTCCAATGCAAAATCGTACGCTTGTGCCATTTTCTCTCTATATGAAAAAAAAACAAAATTAACTATTCTTTTTTCTAATTAAAAATTTTACCATTAAATTTATTTTAAAAATCGAATATACTCACTTATATGTTGTAAGGCTCGCTTTTGTCTCTTTAACGTATGAAAGATACAATTTCCATAATTCGATATTTAAAATTTTCATAAGGCACCTTTGGAAAAGCTGTTTAGAGAAAGAAAATAATTTTTGTAATGAAAAGTGATTAATTAAAATTGCGAACAAATCGTTAAAAATAAATTGTTTTTTTTTTTTAACATTATTTGTTCGATGAATAAACAATGCGTCGTCCACCCAACTACTTACCAAAAAAATTAGGCAAGTTTTCAAAAAAATGAAATACAATATATATATATTTTTTTATAATATAATAAAAGACCACAGAAAAAATCGAAATTCCATTTATTTAACATTATTACAGTAAATGTTTTTAAAATATGGGTAAAAAGAAAAAAGAATTGACCATGGTTATTAATTATGAATTTGTTTTATTGAATAAAACATAGATAATTAATATTAATATACGAATGAATTTTTTTTAAAGATTCTTGTAAAAAAAAGTCCCACAAAAATTAAAAATATATTTATTTATTCATAAGTGGGGATATTAAATTTAATAAATAATTTTAACGCGGGATCTAGAAATAAATGATCCCAAGACAGAGAAAAATTAAGACATGTTGAAGCAACATAATGTGACACAAATTTTATTATCTTTTCCTCTAGTTTCAATATTACGTAATTTTAATATCACTTTTCGAATAATTTTTTTAATTTCAATTTTATATTTCAATTATATATTTTTGAATTTTACATACTTGATATTAAATTTTATATTATAAAATAAATCAATTGTTAAAATATTTCATATCGAAAATTAATTTTTATTTTATGAATTTTTTTTTTTTTTTTTTTTAATATTTGTAAGTTTGAAAAATTGTCACATTATCCTACTTCGAAAAGTTTCTCGACAATTTGAGTATTATTTTTTTTTTCTTTACTCAAAAAATCGATGAAAGGATAGGTTTTCATTTAGATTCGCGCAGTCAGTCACACAAAAACTCAAATAACAATCATACCATCAATATTTTACCCAAAAAAAAAATAATGAATTTTTCTTTGTAAAAAACTTTAAACTACAAATTCGATATTGAAAAAATTTCTACTAAAAAGAATCTTAATATTTTAAACTCATTATTAAAAAATGGTACTGCTTTTCAAAAAATTATTTATAATATTATTTATAATAAACATTGCCTTGAAATAAATAACATCGTGTTAAACGTTTAAAAAAAAACTAGGAAGGAAAGGCTGTGAAATTCAGAAAGTTGTCTTCTTCAAAAAAAAGTTCCAAAATGAAAAATATATTAAATTATTTCCCCAAATGATCGAAAATAATAATTTAATGAATGAAGAAAACAACCTCCCAAATATACCAACAGAATTGCAATTAATTAATAAAATAAGTAGTTTGTTTTTGTGAGAAAGTAAAGTCTTTTATTCACCTCACATAATTTGCAAAGTGTCAGAATAATGTTGCACTTTATTACCATTGTACAAATAACTAATACCCTATTATTTAAATAATGTTAAAAATGTTTTTGTTTTTTTTTATTTATTTACAAAATGTTGTTCAATTAAAAAGAGTAGATAATTTATAAATATTAACTATTTTACAAGGTAATATTTAAAGTTCTAAGTTTTTATAAATATTTTTTTTATATCTTTTTTTATATTTTAAATATATTATTCCTATTTATTTATTTTTAATATTATATTTATTTACAACATTTTACAATTTTCAAAAAATTGTATTGATAGTATTTAAATATTTATTTTCTTTTAATTAAGTTCCACCTAAATAAATATTAAAATTCAATTTTTATTTATATATCAGTAATATAGGCGAAATGCTCGATTTAAATGAACAACTAAAATACTAAAAAAAAAATACCTTTCTGTGGATTCGAATGTTTTTTTTTACAATAGCAACCAAATTTCAACATACCTTTTCAACCTTTTCAAAGTTCCTCATTTTCATCTGCAAACAAAGAGAATATTAATTATTAAAGTAAATTTTAGTTTTTATTATTTTATCTTCTTATAAAATATTTAATTTTTCTTTAAAATTGTTTAAAAAAAAAATTTGTTCCCAATTTTAAAAAAATATTTCAAAGTTAATGTTTTTATAAAAAAAAAAAAAAACATTTAAAGTACCTCTTGTTCAATATAAATTTTCCAATAACGTCCTGCAGAAGGATATACTGTAACAAGTTTTTCAAAAAGGGGTCGAACTTCAGTGATTGGTCGATTTTGTGCTTCTCTAATTAATATACTCCATGCTTCAAGGTCGTAGGACGATTCATCAATTGTTTTTTGGGCTCGTTGTAGTTTATCATTTCCCCAGTCCTGTGAATAATTTAATTTTTTTTTTTAAGTAAAAAGCATTAATTAATTTCGAAAGTTGAGTAATTATTATAAATTATTTCTTTGAATTGGCAAATAATTTCGTATCTAGAAAATTAATTATTCAGTATACATAAACCATAATAATTGTTATGTAACTATTTTCAAGGATAATCACATAAAATAGGAAATGCAAGTCAGGATCTAGAAATTCAGTAATTAGTAATTAATTGCAAGTGGTACTTAATTAGTTAAATAGTAATGAGTAAATAATTATTATTTCATAATATTATAATGAGAAATTAATGCGTCTTAGAAATACATTTTGCTGTATTGTATTACTTCTAGGTTTACAAATACATATACAAACAAAATGACTTTGATGTAAATATAAACTTTATTTCATGCATTATTAGTTTTTTTTTTGACAATTTCAGTTAAAACATTAAATTATCCAATTGTTTAATTATAGTTTAAAAATGTAAATAGTTAAATATTAAAATTGTAAATTTCAACAAATAAAAAAGTATCAGAGACAAAAAGAGTGAGGTTAGAATACTTGTTATGCTTGTGTACTTACAATTTCCGCTTTTTCTTCCGTCATTTTGACGATTTTTATTCTTTCAAACGTTCACCAAAATGTGCCTTTTCTTTTTTTCCTCTTTATTTATAATTGCAGCGCAATTATTCACAATTAAACATATGCGATAAACTTTATCTATAACAAGTTGAAGCTGTGAAGGCTGAACTGTCACTTGTACCAATGGAGGGAGAACAAACCTCCAGTGTTGCCAATCGTTAAGTTAGGTCGTTTGGCGCGAAATTTGAATTTTTTTTTTAAATTCCACTTTTAATTTGATTCATAAGTAATTTATTTTTTTAAAGACATAAAAATACAATTTATTAAAATAATTTGTTTATAAAATAGCGAAATATTTTTTTTTTATTATATTTAGAAACTGAAATAATTATCAGCAAAGGTTTATGTTGCTTTGTAACTTTGTTTGTTTCTCTAGAGAGGACACTACTTGTGTCTTAATTGTTACTAAATAATAATAATAATTCGAAATAAATAAAAAAAGAGTAAAAAACATAGTTTTTTTTAAATTTCAATTTAAAAAAACCATTACTTGATAAATAAATAATACTGTATGTAAGTAAAAAAAAATGTTTTAGTGTATAATGTATTCAAAAATTATTTTACAACTTTTAGTAAAAATTTAAATATAAATAAATTTAAAAAAAAACGCCCCCGGGTGGGCTCGAACCACCAACCTTTCGGTTAACAGCCGAACGCGCTAGCCGATTGCGCCACGGAGGCAGTTGTTCGTCACTTTGAAATTACATTTGTTAAGCTATTGTCAACATTTTTTACATTAAAATTTTTTTAATTTTACTAAAATTCTTTATAATTATATAATTTAATATATATAATTATTTTATACAGAAAAAAAATTGTAAAATATGTTTTCAAATCTTTCTTTATCAATTTTGTTTTATACAGAGTTACACGTATGTGAATCGGGTTGGCTAACTTCAGGCGCTTTTAAAATTATTGGATTAATTTAATTTAAATTTTCATTACATTAAATAAAAATAATTTTTATTATAAAAATGTAAGTAGGAATATCTTTCATATTTGTTAATTTTTTTTTTTTTTTTTTTTTTAGTGAAACAGAAAGTGTAATTTTTGTTGCACGTTTACTGTATAATACACTCACATTAAATTAGAAATTAACTTAAATGCGACTTGATGAAATAAATGAGGTCAATCTAATTTTCAACAACAATTTCTTAAATTGAGTCGTATTCAATTGGAGGAATATCTTTTTTTGAATTAAGATCGTTTATTTTTTTTTAAATCAGTGTAGTAAACATAAAAAAAATTTATTTGATTCAAATATTTGGTTACTTGATTATTATCAAATAAATATTTACTTGAACCAAATAATTTTTATTTGAGTTAATTAAATAGTATTTGTTTCAAATACAGAAATTATTGATCAAAAGACAATTTATTTAATTCAAATAAAAATTATTTCGTTTAAGGAAATATTTATTTGATAATAATAAAGTAACCGATTATTTGAATCAAATAAATTTTTTTCTCAATGTAATTAGTAAGACAGCATTTTATAAAAGTAATAATATAATTTCCAACTGATATAAATAATTGGAAATTATTTAAATGTTAATATTAATTGATGACAGAAGAAAATAGTGTTTTTCTCATGTGATTATTTTGACTAATCATCGGACAAGTTTGTTGTAATTAGTTTGTGTATATAAATCTAGTTGAATTTTGCAATGCAAATTATAGTCGATAATATGGAGATCGATTGACGTATTAAATATTTCACTATATACAATTCGCGATGAATGAACGTGGAAATTATTGGTTAAAAAAAATGTTGAATTTTTTTCCGATGCTTTAAAATGATAGGCCGACATAGGTGGACAGGCCCATTATGCCACACAGTTGCAAAGTCTAAATAGATCGATTAAACATATAGCAATTTGCATTTAAGCGTAACTAACTTAATGGAAGGCTTGCAGATGCATAATATGCAAACTCGCGATACTCATTTGCCGTTTGCGCCTCCTAAAAGTTATCTGAATCGCACTATAGAGAAAAAGAGAGAGAGAGAGAGATGTAATTTTAATTACACTCACAAAATAATCTATTAGATCGTTAGAGAAATTATTTAATCATATATACGAATTAAAAATTAATTTTATATTTAAAAATAATTTTTTTTTAATTTTCAGATGTTCGTTTCTCGATGGAAAGGTGTTGCAGACATGAAGGAGATCTATGAGAGCAGTTCAAAGTGAGTCAATTCAACTATTACCAATTCTTAAAAATTTTAAAAATTAAATATTATTGAACTTTGGAATTTAAAACTCATTTTGATATAGAAAAAAGATTTTCTTCAAATATATTTTTAAAGAATAATTTATTTAACATAATTGATAATACTATAAAAAAATGAACTTTTGACTTGAATTAAGACACACTTGGCTAAGTGTCGATAATGAATCTCGAAGTTAATTAGCCCTTAAGGTGAGACGATAGGTGGTTCGTCGTGACATACCGATATCTTGTGCCTGGCACTCCGTAGTTAGTCAAGCTTAAAAGAAACGTCACGCCACTTGTTACTCGTTAGAGTTCACGATGCCATCTTTACGAACCATTCGGTATGCCTCTCAATAAAATAGTCACATTCAAATCAAATATTTTCGCACTTAACAATATTCCGGTAAATATATTTAGTTATATTGTCATAAAAACCGATCCAATTCCAAAATATTTGACACTGATTACAGAAATATGTATATATGAAAAATTAAGATAAGGAAATTTTATAAGTAGAGAAATTAATATAGGTAAACAATAAGATGCGGTATTGTATATATATATAAACTGCAAAGTCATATATTAGAATAAGACATTAACAACCCGCAGGTTGTTGAATAATCTCAGTGTATGAATCTTTTGGTTGTCAACATCAGAGAATATTGCGCGATTATTATATTGGGCGGTGGTCCCTCGTTATATCCGGGACATACTTATCCATGGATGCGCATCTGATAGAAGATGAATTCATAGCGACCCTGATGGTCCATTTAATACTGACATGAAGAACAGGGACAGAGAATATATATATGCGAGTTAATAGGTCAATACGGAAATATCTTGTTAAAAACAAGTTAGGTGTCGTTCATGGTTTATAAACATTATCGCTCACTCATTTTTTTAACACACGTATTCTTCGCTCTTATTCTAATTCTCCCATTAAATTACCTAGCTTCACTTAGAAAAAATCAATTCAATTATATTTGCAGTAAGCTTTAAATTTTAAATACACTAAAAACAGAAAAATAAAGTAACAATTTCAGAACATATTAAATTAAAAAAACCAAAGAATTTTCAAAAAACCACAAATTTCAATTTGATCCAGCTCAGCATCCGCTGGACCAATCAAAAAGTGTGCCATACATTTTTTGTTCAGAACTTTCTTCTAATCACTATGTCTGTATTCCCGAACGATTATCTAGCAAATTTAATTTTTTGAAAATTTTTCCGAATTTGTTTTTTACTCTAGCTCAGCATCACCTGGACCAATCAAAAAGTGCCCCATACATTTTTTGTTCGCTACTATTTGCTAAAGACAGTTATGGTATTCCGGAACGATTATCTCACAAATTTAATTTTTCAAAAATTTTTCCGAATTTTATCTGAGTGTAGCTCAGAATCCGCTGGACCAATCAAAAAGTGCGCCATACATTTTTTGTTCGAGACTCCGGGTTAAGACTTTGGCGGTATTCCCGATCAGTTATCTCGCAAATTTAATTTTTCGAAATTTTTTAAAAAATTTATCTGAGTGTAGCTCAGCATCCGGTGAACCAATCAAAAAGTGCGCCATACATTTTTTGTTCAGAACTTTCTTCTAATCACTATGGCGGTATTCCCGAGCGGTTACCTCGCAAATTTTATTTTTCAAAAATTTTCTCCACGATTTTTTGTGTGTAGCTAAGCATCCGCTGGACCAATCAAAAAGTGCCCAATACATTTTTTGTTCGAGACTTTTTGCTCAATTTTTTGGCATTAATCCCGAGACATTATCTCGCGAATTTAATTTTTCGGAAATATTCCAAATTTGTTTTCTAGTGTAGCTCAGCATCCGCTGGACCAATCAAAAAGTGTGCCATACATTTTTTGTTCGAAACTTTTTCCGAATTTTATTGGCAATATTGCCGAACGATTATCTCGCAAATTTAATTTTTCGTAATTTTTTCCGAATTTGTTTTTTACTGTAGCTCAGCATCCGCTGGACCAATCAAAAAGTGCGCCATACATTTTTTGTTCGAGACTCCCGGGTTAAGACTTTGGCGGTATTCCCGATCAATTATCTCGCAAATTTAATTTTTCGAAATTTTTTAAAAAATTTATCTGAGTGTAGCTCAGCATCCGCTGGACCAATCAAAAAGTGCCCCATACATTTTTTGTTCGCTACTATTTGTTAAAGACAGTTATGGTTTACCGGAACGATTATTTGAAAAATTTAATTTTTCCAAATTATTTTTTAGTGTAGCTCAGCATCCGCTGGACCAATCAAAAAGTGCGCCATAGATTTTTTGTTCAGAACTTTCTTCTAATCACTATGTCTGTATTCCCGAACGATTATCTAGCAAATTTAATTTTTTGAAAATTTTTCCAAATTATTTTTGAGTGTAGCTCAGGATCCGCTGGACCAATCAAAAAGTGCGCCATACATTTTTTGTTCAGAACTTTCTTCTAATCACTATGGCGGTATTCCCGAGCGGTTATCTCGCAAATTTTATTTTTCAAAAATTTTCTCCACAATTTTTTGTGTGTAGCTCAGCATCCGCTGGACCAATCAAAAAGTGCGCCATACATTTTTTGTTCGAGACTCCGGGTTAAGACTTTGGCGGTATTCCCGATCAGTTATCTCGCAAATTTAATTTTTCGAAATTTTTTAAAAAATTTATCTGAGTGTAGCTCAGCATCCGGTGAACCAATCAAAAAGTGCGCCATACATTTTTTGTTCAGAACTTTCTTCTAATCACTATAGCGGTATTCCCGAGCGGTTACCTCGCAAATTTTATTTTTCAAAAATTTTCTCCACGATTTTTTGTGTGTAGCTAAGCATCCGCTGGACCAATCAAAAAGTGCCCAATACATTTTTTGTTCGAGACTTTTTGCTCAATTTTTTGGCATTAATCCCG